ATCTTCATTTAATACTTTGTAGAATAGACTTTATTCACTTCTACAGCAATCAACCTCTTCTTGTAGTTTTCATTTAATGATTTGCAAATTTTAGTTGGTATTTTGTTTCATTTTATCTTCGCATCTGGTTTTCAGAATAGGGAGTGTTTCTTGGAGCTCTCGATTGGATTTGAATTTTCAAATAATGCCACAGATACTCGTTTGGCTTTAAATCTGGAGACTGGCTATTTCAGGATATTTCATTTTCTCTCTTTTTTTTTTTTTGGCATGTCATTTCTTCGTCTATTTTGCAGTTTACTTAGAATCATTATTTTGTTGCAAGATCCAGTCAAGAGGACGTTCTAGTTTTTCAACCGAAATCATTAAATTTGCTTCCAAAATATTTTGATAGGCCTCGGCATTCATTCTACTATATATTACTGATATGTTGTCTGTGACCTTTCCAGAAAGACATCCACAAATGATGGTGATACTACTCCCAAATTTCACTGTCGGAATTGTGTTCATTTGTTTGAAGGCATCGCCATATTTCTTCCATTCATGATTTTTAGAATTACGTTCAAACAAATCAATTTTGCTTTAGTCTGTCCATAATATTCTTTCCCAATACGATTTTTCTTATCCTTATGTTCACGAACGAATTTCAATCTGTCATTTCTGTGTCTTTTTAATAAAAGTCGAGTTTTCTGAGGGGAGAATAACTTTAAATTGTTCCTATGAATTGCATTGTTTATTGTCGGTTTAGTGACACAGATTCCTAATGAAAGCAAATTAACCTGCAACACTTGACCCCTAACCATTGGATTTTATTTAATTTGACGCAAGAATTTCCTGGAATATTTTGATAGAAACCAATATCTGCTTTTCCTGCAACTTCCATTACCGAATTAAATATTACTTGCGTTCACCACAAGCTGATGAATAGCCCAGCGATTGACTATAAGTTAAATAGCAAATGCTATTAGCATATCCTTTGGGAGAGTCAAGATTCTGCACAATGAACTTGGCATAACGAAGGTTTATGCACGGTTGATTTCTGAAACCTAATAAAGTGATTATCAGGCTAATTCCATTGCGGGAAAATCTGGTATAGTTTGAGTCTCATCTACTTGTTTTCTTGAAAGTTTTGTAAGACAGGATGAGCGTTGGGTTCAAATCTTTGAGCCAGACATACAGAGGACTCATCCTTCCTTACTTGCTCCACTTACCTATTAGCGCCGACTTATATAATTTTATGAACATTCAAGAAATTTTATGGTATAACTCTTAATGTTTATACTAGTTAAAAGCAGGTATCCTTGGAGAATTTGAATCATTAATTCATTTTGTAAAACTTGATTTCCACTCACTGAAAATGTGTTCTGAATTGTAAAATACAAAATGCAATAAAACTAAGAAATTATTTAATTAGAAAAGCTTTTAACTTTGTTTATGAATAAGATATATTATGAACACTATTTTCTTAAGAAAACAACGTTTTAGATCTTTTAAAATTCAGTTATAATTGTGTAACGGTTAGGTGACAGTATTATTAAGTTAAAGACATATTTACTTATATTAAATCGAAAAACTTATTACAATTTAAGAAGCCAGTATTTTAAAATAATGTTGCAATGTGTGTATGTGTATAAAAGTGCTAATTTTGGTAGATGCGGCTTGTTATATATGACATTATCAAAAAATAAGAGCAAGAACTATAGTAAATTTAAAGCCAAAATATCTAAATTATCTAAAGGAGAATATTTTTCTAATCTTCTAACATTACTGAGTATTTAAAAATATATAAGAAAAGCTCACGTTATATTCTTCATTTATTTTTACAGATATAGCCACCGTAGAAAACATTAGGTAAACCTTCACCTGTCATTTAATATTTTAACATATCAACACCTTAAATAAACAGATACCGCTGTGTTTTAAAATACATTTCAGTAATGAATGATATTTGTTTCAAATCAGATTAATTATACATTACATCAGCTCATGTTCCTCAAGTAAATTTTCAGAACAGTATATCTTGTTTTTGGTATTTTCTTTTAATAAAGTGAACATCACTGCGATAAAATCAGTCATTTTCGAAAAACGAAACTCCACCCAATCACTTTAAGTTAGTTTTCAAATACAACAAATTTTGCTTATTGGAAATATTAAATGTAGTCTTTTAGCTTGAATTAAACCGAAATTAAAGCATCAAGAAATACTTTCATTTAAAAGAAATCAAATTAGATTCTTAGTTATCACGACTATATGGAGGTGCCTATGCATATATATATATATATATATATATATATATATATATATATATATATATATATATATATATATATATATATATATATATATATATATAGAGAGAGAGAGAGAGGAGAGGAGAGAGAGAGAGAGATAAAATACACTAAGATAAATATAAAAAAGGCTGAAATAGATATATATAATCATAATAAAGTAAATAGACTATATAAAGATAGAAAAAAGAGTAGGATTCTCCATAGGCCTACAACTTTAAAGGCGTTTTAAGATAGATAGATAAATAGAAACAGTCTGATATATATATATATATATATATATATATATATATATATATATATATATATATATATATGGAGAGAGAAGAGAGAGATAGAGTGATAGATTGCATATTTCTATCATATTAACAAATACCTTCAGTACATTAGAATTAAATAAGACAAGTAATTGTAATAATTTAATGGTACTACACGGAAAAAATATTCGTGAATAAGAAAGGATTATGATAAAAATCAGCCGACGTAATTTTTGTAATTTATATAATCAGACATGCCTAAAAGGAATATTTGTTGCGTAAATACCCCGATACACACACAGACACACACACACAAACACACACACACACACACACTATTAAAATATATATTATTAAATATAACAGACAATTAATGTCTATTATGTTTGATCATGAGCTGTTCTCATGTTCAAATGCTTTATTTAATTTCTGGTGAAAATAAAGACAAAATTTATCCAACATTTGTATATTTTTAGGAAGATTTTCCTAAGAATTCGACTTACGTGATCCATCCTCAGAGTGTCTATACAGGCATCAAACAAATATATCCATCGTCAAAGATGATATTTTATTTTTTTATATATAGAAGATTGCTATGTGACTTTAGAGGCCGTGGAAAAGCAGACGCAGATCTTAAGTTCAAGATGCGATACTATGACGTCATGCCACGCAATAGACCGAAGTATTACAACAGAATCAATGTCTAGATGCAATGTAATGAGTTGTGAGTAGTTTGAAATGTAATTTTTTTGAGTGTGGGTTGTTTCGTTTTAATGTAGATTGCCTCCAATATATGAAGGTTCTTTTTACTGTGTGTATTTGTGAGTATTATTGTGTTATCAAATGGTATCTCACTAATATTATGTACATGTTTATGCCTTTCTAAACATAGACATGTACATAATATTGCTTAATAGAACTAAGATTAGAAGAGTGACAGGTGAGTCTACGGGAAAGCGTGGTAGAAATAAAACCAATATATGAACTGGGTTTATTATTAGCATCAGAGATACATTCTCTGAACGCACATGTAAACTGTATCATTGTTTTTTTGATTTAGTTGTGTGGTTATAGAAGTATTAGAGACTATAACGTCAATTGTTTTATATCTTTTTATGATATATGATGAGCTTAACTTGTTTATTATTATTATTATTAATGTGTTTAACATTATATACATATATATAAATATATATATATATATATATATATATATATATATATATATATATATTATACATATATATATATATATATATATATATATATATATATATATATATATTTCACTGGTTTCACAGTTCATCGAGCACAAAGGGTATCTTATGTTTTATATATCTTAATAGGTATACACACACATATATATACGTGTGTGTATATATTTTATTTATTAATTTTATTTATTTTATATTATTAATATATATATATATATATATATATATATATATAGACAGATAGATAGATAGATACGTGTGTTTGTATATTTATTAATATGCATATGTATGTGTTTATATATATATATATATATATATAATGTGCATATACATATATAAAATCTGTATATATATATATATATATATATATATATATATATATATATATTATATGGTGGACTTTTCGCTGACGAAGAGTGAGAAGAGCATATCCAGTATATTGATGGTTCACCTTCAATCTCTGTGGACATGCCAGGTAATCTTTCAAATAGCAGTTCCCACAAAGCACAAACACCTTTTGGTTTTTCAGCTTTGTAAAGCATAGCGATTGTGAACGTGGAAATCCGCCAATAAATCCCTGAATCTGACCAAATCCGCCTTTATGAGCGTATTTTGCCGATCAAAAATCTTATGAAAGTTAATATTAATATAGAGTGACTCCTCAACCATAACACTACTCTTAATACTTTTTTTTATATGTTTATATTGGTTTTCCGTAATTTCAACTACTTTTGGTCCCTTAGCCTATAAAAACAATAATGTGTTTCGACTCAGTCATGACTTCATCATTTACAATTGACATTTTCATTATTATTCTAGTAAATTTATCCCACTCGAAGAATTCCAAAGGTAAGCCTGATAAAGAAAGCAATTCATGGGTATTCGAAAAAAAAAGTGAATATATTACACAAATCAATTCTTTTCGAAAACTGGAAAAACCGTTTTACTGATCGATACATGAAAATCATATATTCAAGAGAATTTATTTCAGTCAAATAGATGCATATCTTCAATTTTCTTTGTTCACAATCAACGAATATACGTTATATTTCGAGATATATGGTAATGGGTGTGAATGCAGGGAAAATTGGGTTCATGGCTTTTTCTATAAGCAATTTCTGATTTGTCTCGCTGATTATATTTCATATTCTCATAAAATTTACATCAAATGATCATTTACAATATCTGATGATGATATACCTTCTACTGCAACTGGCTTATGGATATATCACATTGAAACACGTCATACGATCACCGAAGTTAAGCAACTTCGAGCCTTTTGAGTACCTAGAGGGGTGAACGCATGGGAATACCAGGTACTGTAGGTATGGATATGCGTGGAGGGTAATGGATAGGGGCTGGGAATTGCAAAGAGGGTTAGCAAAGTTTCAATTCAAGTAGGCTTCGGTATGTTTACTTACGTTCAAACACTCTTGGGAAATATATGAATATACCTCTTTTCTCCACAGGTATAAGTTAATTAGTAGCATTTAAATCAGTAAATCATTATTATTTCCAAAATAAATTCTTATAATTTCTGGCTTTAAATATCCTGCTAAATGTTGATAAACCGTAAAAAACAAACTGTCAATCTATTGCAAGTGTGGAACGGTGTTCATTCTTGTGATAGTCGTCGCTGAATCAATACATACCAAATTTTATTTAGGGTATAAGAAACTGAATGCTTACTGAGAGATTTGATAGGTAAACTTTGTTAATATTATTATTAGAACTCGATGTAGATAATATTTTTAAAAGTAGTGAATAAAGAATTCTTTTTTTGCTATTTGTAAATTCTTCCCATTGTGACGTCGTCCCCTAGTCGCAGCGCCAACTGTGACGTCCTATCCTGGTCTACCACGGCACCAACTGTGACGTCCTCGCCGCGGCGCCAGCTGTTCGCTCCTCGCTGCTCCGTTCGGGTGTCGCCGCTCCAAACGTGACGTCCGCCTGTCGAGTTAGTCGTGTTGTCTCGTCCTGTGACGACCAACTGGCTTGGTATCGGTCGCGGCACCCAAATGTGACGTTCTAACCTTTTGGTGATTCGGGTGGGAATCTGGTTAGATTTTATATCAGCCTCGTCGTTCCCAACTCGCTTCCAACGCCTGGTTACCAAAGTAACTGTATTGGTCTCCAGTCTGCCTACCCACATTGTGAATTGATCTTAGGCAGACGAGATCAATCAGTAGTTGGGGCCGTAATGCAAATCGGGTTCAACGGGGGTGACACCACACAAATATGCATAAAAGAAAAGAAAATGAAAACTCAAAAGTTCAAGATATCAAAGAAAAAGATAACAAACATTATGTCTAGTTGTTGGATACATAGGACTGTGTCTATTTCCCGACCCGTTCTATGGATTGTGACACGTTGTTTTCCGTTAGGCGAGTTTTAACGCTTCAAGTTGTTTGCTCTTTAAGAAAGGTTTTTCGGTGTGTCTTCGGCGAAAGTCGAAAAAAACTTATTTTGGTGGTCTGGATCTAAGTCGCTCTTCAAAAAATTGTTCTTGGATTGAAGAGGAGTCCGGAATGTGCGTGAATCTTTCAAGTCAGCTATCTCCGAGGCGGAACCAACTTCCACTCTGCTGAACTGAACTGAACTGAACTGATTTCTGCTCGCTGCGGCTTCGCTTATATGGACGCCGACCAAAACCGGGGTTGGTTTGTCGGCGTCGGGGGTTCCTCGATAATTCTAAATACATATCCACCTCTTTTATTTCTGGTAAGGAATTTTCCACTCTTTTCCATTTTTGGGAGCCTTTTCTTACTCCCACCTTCTCACCATACTTCAGAGGGGCGTGATCTGCCCTCCCCTCTTCTTCGTAGCAGCTTCTCATACCTATCCTCTGGATGGGGGCCGACAGCCTCCTTCGTGCGTCACGTGAACCCCACTCGACCAATGGTGTCTTAGTCGGGCGTGGACGAATCCGCGGCTTTGTTTCAGGAAAAAAAAAATATCTTGCTTAACTAAAAAAAAAAAAAAATATCTTTTCTTTCCTTTTCTTCCTCTTAATCGCAGTTATCATTTTCTCTAGCCGCAAACGACAGTGGTCATAACTCTTGTTCTACACCTGGGCTTCGTCAGTCATCTTATCGCTAATTATCAGAATGGGTGGTCTTTCTAACACGACCAGACGTCTCCCCGAAAAGAACATTTCTAAGTTCCCATTCATTTCCTTTCGGTACATATTTCTGATAACATAATTTTATTATCGCAGGCTAAAGATGTTCCGTCGAAAGAAATCGGTCAGTGGACACATCGTGTGCGGCTTTTGACACAAATTTTTCATATCTATCCAAAGCCCTTTTGTCCACCTGTTTTCCGTCACTTATCGAAATAACATTTTCATTTGGATTTTTCTTTGGCCAGCAGTTTGTTTACCCATCCCAGATAACACAGCCGTCGCCAAAACACCCGATTCCTTTATCCACTCAGAATTTCCCTGTCATTGTAATGACACTCTTTCGCCATTTGTTACTTATCAAAATATCCTTTAACCATTGTCTCTTAGCCGTGGTGTTCTGCTTATCATCCACGTTTTGGGTCTCGCCTCTTTTTTTTTCTTCTTTTCTTTCTTTTCTTTTTCTGCCTAGGTAAATGGTGCTACACCATTTCATTCCAGAAAGGTATTTCGAACTGCCATTTCAGATGCAATGCCACATATCAATGTCTTCTGTTAGTATTATAGAGAAATTGTTTCCATCACCGGCTTGCTAGGAATGTCATGTAGCCTACATTCTCTTATATTCCCCAATTATCACCCATCTGAGTATGGACAAATTCAACACTGCTTAACGATAACGAGAACCAGGATTCCAGCATGATATATAGCTTTAACTATATTTGTAACTGAAAATAAAACTGTTAATTTTCTTAGGATTATGTCTTGTTTTACCTTTTGACTGTATCATCAAATTGTTTTATTTTATTCCTAAAAATATCGGTTGTGTTAAAGAAATTTATCTAACCACGACTGTAGACACCTAGTCATATCCATTATCTCCTGCCTCTTCCAATTCTATTCGTCTTTTCATAAACTTTATTGCTTCTGCCAAAATTTCCTGTCAGACTGATTTTGTCTCAGTTTCAAGCAAACATAAAAACATTTAAAAGGCGAAAAAACTATGTTCCTCAGCACCCTCTCTCTTACCTTACTTTTGCTCTATTTCAGCATGAAGAATAACGTTTATTACTGCTGTTTGAACTAAAAGTCAGCTTTATTTTTTTTCAAAATAGTAGGTGAAAAAAATGTTCACATTTTTATTTGAACTTAAAACAGACAATTGGTTTACAGAGAGTAGGTCAACGATCTTTTGCTCTTCTAGTTTGAACTTAAAGTTGGTAATCTTATATAAAAAGTGTGGATCAACAATATTTTACTCAATACATTGTGACTTTAGTTTGATTTTGTTAGGCAATGCAATACAATCTATTAATTTTCTTATCTACTGAAACCTCTTTTTTTTTTATCTAATTCTTTTTGTATAAGCAAAAGGAAAGATCCCGGAAATGTTTTGAATGATGTTCCATGTTTCAGTCTGAAAAACTAAAACATTTATTCACTTGCAGATTTTCTTTCGCCTTTAGTAAAACAACATCACCTTTTGTTTGCGTTACAGTTTTTGGGCCTTTTACTTCCAACTGGCATTTAAATTTTTCAGAATTTTCCCGTTCTTATCCTGTCTTTCGACGCATTTTGTATAAACACCCACAAGCACATACACACACACACATACATATATATATATATAAATATATATATATATATATATATATATATATATATATATATATATATATATATATATATATATATATATATATATATATATATATATATCCGCAAAATCTTTCGATATGGTCAAATGATTTCATTTCATAATGCTTTATAAAAGTTTATGATACATGACTATAAATATACACTTTTATCTCTTGATGGGTGCATTGCAGAATGTTTGGAACTCTCAGTACAGATATATTCTTCATTATTATTATTATTATTATTATTATTATTATTATTATTATTTCCTTTGATATCTCGTGTGTACTCATTTCTTTCCAGGTTACGAAGAGAGAACTGAACTCAGAAATGGGAACATGATATTTTCCACTTAGCAATTAACAAAAAAAATATAACGCCCATATTTTACATAGATCAAGTCCTTCGTAAGGTGTTGTCTGAACCTGTGTGAACAATTTCTTGTATATCTTTAAGGCATGGACTTCCAGGAATCATTTCAATCTGTCTACCGGAACATTTTCTGATCAATCCGAGGGCTCCAACTACAACTGGAATTACTGATGTCCACATGTGCTATATGTTTTGAGATTTCAACTTGAAGAGCCTTGTATTTTGATACTATTTTTGAAGATCTTCAAAAATACATTAAAATTTGCCATGTCAATAAGAAAGTAGATTCTACTTTTGTGATCTTTGATCCCGATGTCTGGACGATTAGCTTTGATTGTTCAGTCTGTGTGTATTATAAAGTCCCATAAAATTGTCACAAGTCCGCCGTCTGTAACCAGGCCCAGGTGATATTCATACCAGTTTCTTTCAGTTTCCTTCCCGTAAAAGTTGCATATTTTACAGGGTAGATATTGGCCCAATCTGTCATACTGGGTATTTATCACAATATCTGCATTTTGGGCCAATAAATTTTTCAGTATAGGCGCTTGGGAATTATTAGTTAGCATACATTGGTTCTGTGCAGCAACATTATTATTATTATTATTGTTATTAATGCTGTGGATATTGAACGAGCTGAACTGAAAACTCACTTGCAAAAAACCTATCTTATATCCTATATGTCAGTATTCCGCAAGATACTACTCATATTTTTATGGTCATGCAGGTATATCGTCCACAATACTCTGCTATTTAATCCATAGCTGGAGGGAGAATAAACAGATTTATGCCTGTTCTGACAGAAATTTGAACTTGGTTCTTCGATTATATTTTCGGCTCCGATATCCGTTACGCTTCCCGCACTAAAATTAATTTTCAGCTTTCTACATATTATAAACCATTCTCCGGTTATTTGAAGCAGGAAAATATTTTTAGTCTGTAAGAATTTGGCGGGGAAATGATAATGATAGTGATAGATATCATACTAATTAATCCATAACTGGAAGAGGACGTGGATTCATGCCTTACCCAAGGATATTTGAGCATAAGTGAATGTAACCAACCCGATTAAAACTGAGCCATTATCCATTACAGCAGTCGGACAGCCAAGCTTACAGCACTTAGTATTTACATGCAGTCACTCATCAAGGTACAGACCAGGTTCTACTTTACTTAACATTGGTGATCTTACGTAAT